CTCTCACACTCTCCTCTTCTTTAGAACTTCACAATGTTTTATTTGTTCCTTCATTTACATTCAATTTGCTGCCCATCAGTGCTCTCACTAATACATCCTCTCTGATTGCCATTTTTTCTGCTTCTCATTGCTTGTTACAGGATCTTACCACGACCACGATGATTGGGATTGCTAACCGTTGTGGAGGTCTCTACGTTCTTGATGTTTGTTCTCTTTTTCCTAAACCTAATGTTCCCCCTTCCCTTTGTCTTACTATAAATACGTCCAATTCTGAGCTCTGGCATGCTCGTTTAGGACATCTTTCTTTTTTTGTTTTGAATTCCATGAAGCATGCTCTGCATACAACCACTTTACCTGTCTCACATCATTGTAACATTTTCCCTTTGGCGAAGCAAAAACGATTACCTTTTATATTAAATCCAAAATTATCTTCCATACATTTCTCTCTTATACACTGTGATATTTAGGGACCCTTCACTCCCATTTCTACTACTGGTTCCAAATATTTTTTAACAATCGTTGATGATGCTTCAAGGTTTACTTGGATATATTTTTTGAAATGCAAGTCTGATTTTCGTGAAGCAGGTTTACATGACCTTGCCTCCAGGCTATCATGGACAGGGGGAGTCTCTTTAAATGGGTTGAAGCAGGCTTCTAGGCAATAGTTTGCCAAATTTTCATCCATTTTTCTCTCTCTTGGCTTCATTCAATCACAAGCTGATCACTCTTTATTTGTGAAGCATTCTGATTCTATTTTTCTTGCATTATTGGTCTATGTTGATGACATTCTTGTTGTATCTAACAATTTTTCTGAAGTGCAGAAGTTAACATCTTTATTGGACAACAAGTTTAAACTTAAAAGTCTTGGTCCTGTGAGATATTTTTTAGGCTTGGAGATAGCTCGTTCTTCTAAAGGCATTTTTGTTTCTCGACGTTAGTATGCCCTCAACATTTTACATGACTCAGGTCAATCAGGCTGCAAACCAAAGTCCACTCCATTGGAGGTCAATTCCAAGCTCTCTGCGCATGATGGGGACCCTTTGCTTGACCCTACTGTTTTTCGAAGACTCATTGGGAGGCTTCTCTATTTGACAATTACAAGACCTGACTTATGCTTTGTTGTCAACCAACTCAGCCAGTTCATGTCAGCTCCTCGGAAGCCACACCCTCAAGCTGCCTACCGTGTTCTTGCTTACATTAAAGCAACTGTTGGACAAGGGCTCTTTTTTCCATGCACTTCTTCTCCTCAATTGAAGGTTTTTTGTGACTCTGATTGGGCTTCTTGCCCAGATAGCAGACGTTTTATTTTTGGATTCTGCATATTCCTTAGTGATTCTCTGATTTCTTGGAAATTCAAGAAGCAACACATTGTTTCTAGAAGTTCTGCAGAGGCTGAATATCGTTCAATGGCCCATGCTTCTTGTGAAGTTCTTTGGCTGCTTAATCTGCTTAAAGACCTTCGCCTACCTCACTCATCTGCTGCTCACTTGTATTGTGATAGTCAATCTGCATTACACATAGCTGCAAATCCAGTTTTTCATGAAAGAACAAAGCACATTGAGATCGACTGCCACCTTGTCCGTGACTGCATTGTTCGTGGCATCCTCAAGACCTTCAATGTTCAATCTTCTCATCAGCTTGCAGACATACTTACAAAAGCTTTACATCCTTCTCATTTTTCCACGCTTCTCTCCAAGATGGGGATCATCAACATTTACTCCACATCTTGAGGGGGAGTATTACACATTACACATTTTTTCTTTTCTGTTTTTACAATTCTTTTAGTCTCTTCTGTTTTGAGTAGTGGCCACGTGGCCACTCTTTTTCCAATTAGTTGTAATAGATTGTGGTTATTCTTTTATTCCTTCTGTTCCTTATATAGACACACGCTTTTGTACAGATTAGAACAAATGAATGAATACAATTCAATTTTGCTTCTTCTCTCTCTTTTATTGTAATACCTTCTCCTTTGTTTCCATCTTTTCAATTTCTCTGTGCAAGCTTCTATTGAGGATGGGAGGGCAGCCCCTTATGATGCTGTATATGTCAGAGTTAGAAAAGCCTTTGGACTTCAAGATATCAATATTTAGAAGCAAAGTTTTCATGGTATCAGATCGAAGGATCCCTGGGAAGGAAGGATTGGATGATAATTAACGCCTTGGATTGTGAGAAACCCTGGTTCTTGAAGAACTCGAACACAAGGTCTGGTTTTTCACGGGTTTTGAATTTCATGCGTTTGGTAAATGAAGCAGCAAGCTACGGTGATAACCCACAAGTGTCAATGAGACATGATGCAGTGAAAGGGTTTTCTTTTGAAGAGATGGAGATGAATTTCAATGAAATCCATAGTTGGTAGTTTTGGTTTTGTAACATAACCAGTTTTCTTGTGGTTGGAGAAACACTCCTGCTGAGAAAACGAAACATGGGAAGGAAGGGATAAGAATGGATGGAAATGGTACAATAATAATTGGATTTTGATTTTCTCATAATTTAATTATCAAGTTGTTACTCAATTAAAAGTGGGCTCCACATTTATTAAATAAAAAAATAAAAAAAGAGTTTTGCACAAGGGTCGGAAACACTTCACATGTAATATAAGAATTGTTTTTTCCATAATAATTTTATGAAAAATAATTATCTCATATTACATGAAATTATTAGAGATAAAATAACGGAGTTCACTATTAAAAAAAATGATGAATCCTATTATTTTGTCTCTGTTGCATGAGATAATATCTCATAAAACATGAGATAAATAGATTCTTAATTTTATATTTAAGAGGTGCTTTGTTATTTTAACGTTCAAATAACAATTTTATTTAAAAACATATTTAAAATATGATATTCAAAAACAAAATAATTTTGATTCAAAAAAAAAATTCTTTTTAAAAAGTAACTCATAAAAAATAATTTTTTAAAAGTTCATTTAAACGAGCCCTGTGGAGAAAACCCAAAAATATCAGTTCAATCTTAAACAATTGTAATTTAACTCACACAGAGTGAGGACTGTATCTTAAAAGAAAATTTGCAGAATTATAAATACCATTTGCAAAATTAATGATTGAGATTGTGATGAAATATATGCGTATGTCTAATAAATAATGAAGTTGTTGAAGTTTACTTCTTTGATTTTTTAATCAACGATTATAATTATATAATTCTTTTAAGAAAAAAATATTTATCCTTTTAAATAATATAATTTTGTGTCACCTTAGGTTAAATAACTTGTTTTGTTGTATATGTAGTGATTTTTTTATATTCTTTCTCCTCTTTAAAATTAGGAAGAAAGAAAAAATAGATGAGAGAGAATGTACAAAATTACTAAGGGAAAAATGTTTTTGCAGTTACTACCGCAGATAAGTCATCTGCATTTATTCTCAAAACGACATCGTTTTGGTATTAAAATCTTAAAAAATTATAAATACAAAGACTATTATAACCCTGAAATAAATTAAAATTACAAAAATATCATGATTTCTGTCCTAAAACGACGTCGTATTGGACTTACTGCAGGCGAACCCAATTACTAATTATACACCAAAATAATATTATTTTATCTAAAATGACAAAGTTATGTTATTTAAAATGATAAATATTTTTTTTAAAAAAAAAATATACTCTTATTTGAATTTTAATGAGTAGGTAGATTATCTCAAGGGCAATCATGGCATTTTATTTATTTGATATTATTCACTTAACGCAGACTACAATCATTAACGAGAAGTTTAATCCTCTTTTGAGCTAATAAAATTTCAAGAGCAAATATTTAAGGCTGCCGAAATTTCCTCAAGAACTTCCTCAATTCCTGATGGGGGCAGCCAACAAGACCCCAATTTTCGCCAGATTGTCCCTGAGATAACGGATTCTGAATTTTTCATCAAATGCATAACTTCGGTTTTTCTTTTTAATATAAAATACAAATCCATGGTTTATTTACAATTACAAGGAAAATCTGAGTATATTGCGAATTCGGAACTACAACTAATTCTTCCATTTTTGGTGTCTATTCATTGTTTGGATTGAAAAATTATTTTTACCCTCAAAGCCATCTCTACTACTACTGATATTTGACATTTACGAGAAATATAGTAGGTCCTCTTAATTTGATAATTAGATAGGACTTAAACAAACCGTTTTAATCATTTTCTCTAACTCAAAATATAAAATGATAGTATCACTGTGTAAAAATCATTGGCTGAATCACGGGTACCGTTTAGTTTCACTTGTTAATTGATCTTATTCATTTAATCATTAAAACTGGCCAAAATGCAAAAAAAAAAAAAAAAACTAAAAAAAAACAACTTTTGTTGAAGTACAATTACTGTCTTGAAAATGCATGGAGCCCACTAATGATGTCAAGTCACCAAAAAGTATCTAAATTGTCAATATCTGCCTGCTCCCCCACGCACGTCGGCATCTCCTCCGACCCTGACAGTCATCTTAGTTCATGACTTCATGCACACCCTTTTTTTTTTTCTTCAATTCTTATTGGGAGGAAAAAAAAAAGAGTCATTAAATCCAAAGGGGAACAATAAATTATGAATAGGCAGTCTGAACAGGAAGTCAATGCCCGAACCATACACACTTTTGGTGATCTGCTGGGCGCTGGCTAATCTGGGAATGTGGAGAAGTTAAAGACCACGTATGGTGCGTTCTTGACTCCCTCTTCTAAGACTTTTTCTACTTCCAAAGCTAATTTGCAAACTAGCGAACAAATAAAGACCTTACCCACAATATACCCAAAAAAAAGAAAAAGAAAAAAAGATCGACCTTACCCATAAGCCAAAAAAATGGTAGTTGGTGTGAAACGTAATGAAGCTTGAACCTTAAAAGCAAAAAACAGCTAGCTCTACCAGCAGCAGCAGCAGCAGTAAATAATTAGGCTTCTGCTCTTGATGAGGGCATTCAAAAGTCCCAACTAACCCAAAAATAGATTATGAAGTCTCTGAACCACTTATTTAAGGAGGGTAGAAGAGTGAAAAAGTAGCAGAAGCAATCCATCAGGAATTAGGACAATTCAAGGAAGCCTTTATTTGGTGGACAGTGGAGCCAATGAGATTATTAACGGTTGTGACCGACTCCATGTTAAGCTTGGCAGATGGCAAGCTGCTCACTAGAATCTGGAATGCAACTGTAATTAGTGAACCCCCTATGCTCCTGTTTGTGTTTGAGCTGGTTGATGCTCCATCTCCTTCCTGGTCATGCTGCCCATCAGGCGAAATGGTAAATCCAGATGGTAGTAGGGGAATGTATGAAGGGTCTTCGCCACTCATTGCTATGTTTATGGATGGCAGATCAACTGGGCAATAAACCACAAGTGAACCTGAGGAATCTATGCAGCTCTCTTGGAGTATTAACATGTTGTTCTGACTGGTGTTGAAAGCCTATTGGATAAGGTAGAAATATAATTGTAAAGAGAAAAACACATCCCGATTACAAAGCAAATAAAAAAGGGAAAACAAGCTTCAATTGGGTCATGAAGGAAGACTGTCTTACTCGAAGAACTGATATGCTGTTACCAGGGTGTGAACCATTTGCAATGTGGGCAATCTCATGCACAGCATTACCGTTGGAAAGAACATCCCACTAAAAGGACACCAAAAAAATAAAAATAAAAATAAAAGGGATTTTGTAAGCATATCTAAGGTGACAACTTCAAATCAGTTGATTAACTTAATTTACTGTGTCACAACCTGAGGTCTTTTTCTTTCATCCTTGAAGAAATTGAACACAGTGTGGGGAGGGACGGGGAGCCAAATGGTAGTGGCTGCACTTAGCACCACGCCATTAGGTTGCCCAGGATCTATGCTCTTATGGACTGTGACTCTGACTCCAATCTCGTTCAACCCAGAGAGCGTGGTCCATCTATGGCCAGATGAAGTGCTAATGCTGGCACAGAAATTGGTGACCATCCTTTGAGCAAGTTTCATCATGCTCCTCTTGCCCTCAGGAGATGAAATTACTAAAATTCGAGTTACTTGTTCAGCCTTCAGATTAAGGTAAGAAAATTAAACATTGCAGAGATGGTGTCAATGATATACCTCCTCCAAGATCCGGGCTAGGATTGCCTGTCACCGTTAGACAAGCAAGTCTTTCACACATCCTCTGAAGAGTAACAAGCCATTTTTCAGCTCCGAATGCCAACCCACTATAAATAAGATTTCTATAAAGTCGATGCACTATAGTTTTATCTTCAATCTCTACGTGTTCAACCCAAGTTATCTACATGACAACTTAGACGAGTGAGAACAAATGCCTGTTAAAGGTATCAAAGTAGACACACCATAAATATTATTTAACATTACCTGGGAATGCCCATTAGGCATGTCCTGGATCAAGCAACCAGAAGGACGACGATGAGACCGAAACTGAGGAGCAAAGTGATTATCTTGGGGAAAATCGTAAGAAACATCTACCACTGCCCATGTGCCTTGCTCGATTTGCTGACAGTAACGCAGGAAGTAGAACTCTCGAGTAGAAACAAGCGGAGAAAGCACTTGCAACTCTTCATACATCTGAACAAAAAAAGTGTTGTATGCACGTTGAAGGGAAATGGGCATCAAATTTGAAAGAATTTAATAAGAAGTATTTCTATCCGACTTACCAACTGCAAAGAACCATTGCAACCACCCATTATCCCAGGAGATATAACTTGAATAGTTCTTGCCACTGAGACAATAGTGGGAAAAAGCTCCATCCACTTGTTCTGCGAAGAATACAAAAAGCTCAATTGAAGTTGTCAAGATTTTGCATTATGGAACAAACAAAATAATAATAATAATAATAAGAACAGCTTACTGGGTCCATAAACATGTCAGCTAAAGTTAAGCTATTCATGATTACAAGTCGTGAATCTCTGGATGCTTCAACGCGAACGTTAGGATTCTTTGGGCGACTATTGGGCTTGGGGAACATTCTTTCATAGGTATCAAAATTAAGAGTATCTCTGCCATCAGTGCTTGACTTGATCCACAAGGGTTCATTTGTCCGCAAGAGCCTGAGTAATTCTTGCATGGCATTGGAAGCAATGTCTGGCATTAGAGACTTGTCCATGTCTGAAAGGCAAGGAGGTTGATAAGGCAAATTTGGCAGAGATGAAGAACTCCCTGGGAGAAGATCAAGATTAAGGGAAGGACCAATCATCCCTTGGCTACCAAAACTCCCCATAGACAAGTCGAGAGACGATATATGAAAAGGCTGAACCGGAGGAAGTTGGGAAACTGGTCTTCCAATATACTTGGAGGCAATGCTAGATACTCTATCAAGCTGCAAATTGAGCATTTCAATGGATGTAAGAAAAATTAAAAAAGATCCTCAAAAAAAAAAAATATATATATATATATAACATAGCATAGATTACCTCTTCCTTGAGGTGGGCATTCTCCAAGCGCAACTTTTGGTCATCAAAATAAGAGTCCTGACTGATAGGAGGGACACCACAAGAAGGGCAGATAGCATTTTTTAAGGCATCCCTGATGGCTATGTTCTCGCAACGTATCTTGTCATTGTCTGCTCGAAGTGCAGAGTTATCAGCTCTTTCGTGCTGGGCCTAGATTTGTTTAACCAAAACAATTAGTAATTAATTAGTTAGCTAGGTAGGAATAAAACACACAAGACAAGACATGCATCCTAAACTAAATGCAGAAATTAGCTACCTTCATCTGAGTCCTCCTGTTCTGGAACCAAAATTTGATCTGCCTCGGGGCCAGACCCAATTCCCTGCTTAACTGCAACCTCTGCTTCTCATCTGGATGGGGGCACTCCTTGAACATTCTGAAAAGCAAATGAACAGAGATAATCAGATGTACATACTAATCAATAATTAAAGGCGAGAATGGGTTGGGCTGTCTTACGACTCAAGCCTCTGAATCTGGTTGGCAGTATGACGATGGTAGCGCTTCCTCCTCCTCCCGGAATCGGAACCATCATGCTCCCCTGGGGATTGGGACCCACTGCCATACTCCATGAATTTATTCTTTCTTTTTTGAATTGTGTGTGTTGTGGGTGTTGGTAGAATATTATTATGGCATAAGATAATTCTGATGCCCCTTTTTGTATTCAAACAATCATATATAATATATATGCTCAGCTCAAACTCAAATCAAAACAACATGCCATGATTGATTCGGAGAGTGTTTTGAGAGGGAGAGACAAACAAATCACTCACTCTTAAAGCATTGAGTTGAGTACAAACAAACAAACAAAGTAAGAAAGAAAGAAAGGAAGGGTGATTAAAGTGCAGTCAATACAATGTATGGTGCACTCAGTGACTCACTCACTCTCCCTCGCCAACCATCACCAACTTTAAATGACCTGGCCGGTGCACCTTTCCTCGCCGGGACACATATGCCCTTTCTCTTTCTCACCTCATTTATTTATGGGAAATCATCCTTTTGTGTTGTTGTGTTGTGTTGATGGGAAAAAAAAATTATATTATCTTATCCATTATAATTAAGTACTTTTAGAACATGTAGTTAGAGGGAGGGGTTATATTTACAACTCAAATAATTTACAAATTCTTATAATCGTAACTTAACCGTTCATTTTCACCAATCAACTATTGCCATTTATTGTAAATTAATAATTAATTAATAAATTTGATTTGCGAAAATCTTAATCGTTGATTGACGGAAATCAACGGTTAAGATATGGTTGTAAGAAGTTAGTAAACGAAAATAATATGTAATTGTAAATATAACATTCCCCGTAGGTAGGAGAAGACATCGGTTCGAATCTCACCAACACCATCTGGGAAGGAGCATAAGTACCATAATTTTTGGACTCGCACCCGAACTCTGGATTAGTACCGTAGGTGCAACCGTGGTGCGATGATATTATTATAATTATATATTTTTTGAAATATATAATTATAATGGGATCCTGTTCTTCTCATTGTGTTGTGACATAAATTTATAATTATAAATAAATACACAGCTTCTTCAATACGGGAAAAAATTTCATAGTACTGAATTACTAAAATAAATGGAAATTATAAGATTGAATTACTTATAGAATATATGTCAACATTATAAGCTTTTTTTTTTTTTGTATAGAAATCTCGAAGCTAGAAGTATTTTCATTCAACCTCTTATGATTATCTTGTCTTTGGAGTACAGTTCTAAAAACTACCTCCTTATTAAAATAACAGATGTGTTAAACTATGCCACCGAAAGAAAAATAAGACTAATCTTCCATCAAAAAAGAACTTATTCCCTTTGGTCTCAAAAGTATTTCAGAATTATTTCAGCCAAATATCGAGCCCTATACCAAGTTTTTTTGTGCGTGTAAAAGGATACAACGGTTGGACTTCTTCCAAATTGGCTGGTCTTTTCATTACATTGATATTCTTAAGAAACAAAACCGGAGCTATTGTAGATATCAATCAATTGATAACCTTCCCCAAAATATGCAAATATAGGAAACAAACCCGTCATTTGTATTTTGTTTTAATTTATTTTCCTTACTCTTTTCCCTTGATCATGAATAGGGCAGAAGGAAAAAAAAAAGTTTAAGCATGTAATCCTTTTTTTATTTTTTTACTTTTCCGATTTACTTTTCTGCTTGGTCAATCAGATAAAATGTTTATTTGCCATTTCATGTATTACGATACACACTCCGGGCCCTCTTTTTTTGTCTAAATTACATGAATATAATCAAACTAATAGGAAAATTACAATATAGGGTTTTGGTCATAAAAGTATGATTGGATATCAGATATGAGCATTCAAGTTTCTTGATATTTCTTTGGCTATGTATTTTTATTTTTATTTTGGAAACACTGACGTACATTTACAATCGTTTACACTTTGGCTGTGTATTAAATATGTTATCTTAACTTACCAAAACTACATTATGAAAATATACGAATAGAAGATAAGATCAAATCTACAATAATTATTTAACCAAAAAAAAAAAATCTACCAATAATTATAAAATGATAATTATTAACTTTAATTGAATTTAACCTATTTAAACCTCAAATTTGTTTCAGGTTAACCTAAATCAAATTGAAAATGGCCCAATTTCCCCAACTTCAGTTTTCGGTTAAGTAACAAAATTTATGTTTATTATAGAGTTTGATAAACACTCAAATATACATGTGTTCAAACATACATACTTAAAAACACTCAAGATTTTCAACTATGACCTGCTGTCGAAATTAATATTATGTTCCATAAAAAAAAGTATTTTAAAAATGTCATGGAGCATGAGCAACGTACAGCTTTTAACATTTAATTAATTAAAAAACTTTGTGCTCACTTGATAGATTTAATTTCTATTTTCAATGCTACCAACAAACCCAAGTATTTATCATTCTCAGCACTAGCTGAACTTATCTAGGTTCTTTATACATAAATAATTATATTCGATCGTATATTTTATAAATACTTATTTTCGTATAGTTTTCGTAGCCATAAACTATATACCTACTTACCTAGGATAAACCAGAGCGCATTCTTCTGTTCGAAGACCTAATAAAGGAAAATGAGGAGAGGCTAAAGTCCTGGCAAAAGATTTTCATACCAGTTGTTGATATTAACAAATCAGCTTTAAGTCCTCAACCCTCATCGGAAATAATAATGTTAGCCTAGTCATTTTTCTCAACAGGATATGATTCAACTGCAGGCTTCTTGTAATTCAATATTTTTAACCAACATAAACATTCAACTCTTAAATACCTAACATTTCTAAATGTGTAGATGAAGATAATGAAAGATTACACAACTCCTAATTGAGTGTTCAAGAAATTTCAATTAAAGTCGTTGTGGTTATTAACTGCCAAAACAATAATCTGGTATTCCACGCTTAAGAAAAATAGAGGATACAGAATTTAGTTAGAGGTCCACTATGATAAATATTAATTACTAGATTGCATTTCTTATCAATTTTTTATGTTAGATCTTAATAAAAAATAAAATAGCTCTTTACATTAAGGGCTCGTTTGGTGGACAGGATAGGATAAGAGTAGGATATGATATGCGGCTGATAAGGGTAGGATATGATATGTGGCTGATAAGCCTATATCATGTCCTGTGTTTGATGAGCACCTGATTAGCAATCTGATAAGATTATGTAGAAGGAGAAAGAAGAAAGAAAAAATATATAATGCAATAAATACAAATATATTGGATAGCGTGGGGATATATTGGGTAGCGTGAGAATATATTGGGTATCCAATATTGGTATCCTATCCTGTTGAATCCTAACTCAGCTCCCCCAATAGGATAAGAAATCATGTATTGGATAGGATAAAATGAGACAATAGGATAAGCTAATCATATCATATTGACCCACCAAACAAAAGATAAAAGTAGGATATGATAAGTTATCATATCTTATCTTCTTTATCAGGTGCTCCAAACAGGCCCTAAAGGTACACTCAGTCATATTGTAGCTAACATGTGTTTCTCCATGTTTTTTTTTTTTTTTTTTTTTTTTTTTTTTAAACAAAAGGCCTAAGCCAAGACAAACTAAATAGCAAAATAAAACAAAAAAATAAAGCCTAACTACAGTAAGACATGCTTATGATATCTTCCCACAGCAGCTACATCAGCAAGAAGCAAGAAACGAATTCCAGAAGAGGGAGCCTACCAAACCATCTGGTCTACTTGATCATCTCTGTCTAAAATATGATTTGCCAAGCAGTTAGCACAAGCATTATTGCCTTCCCTGAGAATATGTTGAAAAGTTACGGCCCACTCTTTATCTATCCATGTCCGTATTCGAGAAATCAAATGATTCTCACATATTACTGCACTTTGATTAGTGAGCACAGTGATCACACATGTTGAGTCACTTTCAATGATTACATTTCTATGACCAGCATTCCAGGCCATCTGAAGACCCTTGAAAACACCCCACAATTTTGCTCTAAATGCTGAACATATACCTAATTTATAAGCATAACCCCCAAGCCAATTCCCTTGAGCATCTCTCATCACACCACCACATGCCGTAGGCCCAGGATTACCACGAGAACCTCCATCCGAATTAACATTTATAACACCAGACTTAGGAAACTGTCAAAAAACTTCTGATATAGTTGTTCTTCTTCCCTCAATATTATGAGAAGATTTACTGATAGCATCATCTACCTCCTTCGCTAGTCTGTGAATATTAGCTTCCCTGATGTTGATTGGATCCATAGTGCCACCATGCAAAACTTCATTACGCCAAATCCAAATTTTTCAACAGGTAATAAAGAAAATAGTTAGCCAATGAGCACCCAAAACATCAACTCTTTTCGAATCAAAATTGTAAGAGATCCATTGATTCATATCACCATTAAAAAAATTACTAAACTCCCTATGATGTATCATTTTCATCCAAAGTTCCTTAACAATTTGACAATCCCTAAAGACTCACTTTCAAGATTACAAACTGGGCATAAGTCACTGCATACTCCATACTTAGCTATAATACACTTAGTAAGAAGACGCTTATGAATTACTTTCCACATAAAAATTTTAATTTTTTGCAAACCTTTCCACCTCCATAAAAAAGACCACAAGTCACCACTAGAATAAAAATTAACGGCCTGTGCCAGAAGGACATCATAAATAGCCTTCACAGAGACAGTGTTAGCTTCTCCAAGTTCCACGTTAATGTATCATGCTCATCAATCTTGGAGGAAGAATTGTCTTCAGATTATTTAAAAAATCATCTGGGAGCAGGTTCTTCAACATTTCATAATTCCAATCACCAAAAGGCAAAACCATATCAGCAACTTTAGCCTCCAAATTGCTAACAGACTCCCTCTCAGTTATACAATCTAGCAGGGAAACATTTTGATAAATCAATTTATCTTACCAAAATTTGATATCCTTTCCATCCCCAAGATCCTATACAAGCCTATTCTCCATAACCTTCCAAACTCGACATAAATTCCTCCATAAATTTGAATCACCACTACGCACATCAAACAGGCCATTATTTCGTCTAGTTGTCCCATATTGAAACAAAGAA